AAGTTGTATCCAAAAAAGAAAAAAAAAGCAAGTTGTAGAACTTTTATGTATAGTTGCATTCGTTTCCTATTGCTGCCATAACAAATCACCACAAATTTTGTGTCTTAAAAACAACATAAATTTATTATCTTCAAGTTCAACATGAGTCTTGCTGAGCTAAAAGCAAGGTGTTTTCATGGCTGCCTTTCTTTCTGAAGGGAATCTGTTTCCTGTCTTTCCCAGAGTCTACAGGCTACCAGAATTCCTTGACCTGTAGCCCCCTTCCTCTGTCTTCAAAGCCAACAATGGTTTGTTGAGTCCTTTTCATGCTGGTTCTAACTACAGCTGGGAAATATTTTGCATTTTTAAGGATTCATGTGATTAGACTGGGCCCACCTGGACAATAAAGCTACTCTCCCCAACACAAGGTCCAGATTCTTAATCACATCTACAAAATCTCTCTTGTCACGTAAGGTAACATATTCAGGTACCGGGGATCAGAGCATGGATATCCTTGACAGCCTATTATTCTGCCTACCACATTATTCTATTTTTCTAGTTTGTTAGAAACAATTCAAAAATACAAATAATGAGGAAAAGACCTGGAGGAGTACATGCTGAGCTGTTAATAGTGTTCTTCCCTGGAGGGTAAGCTTATGAGGCACAGTCAACTTTTCTTTTTTATATTTTTATCGTATTTAAATTTTTTGTAACAAGCACATTTCTTTCACAAAAAGAAAAAAAAACCCCAAAGATATAAAAAGTAAAGCAGTAATAAAAAATGGTGGACTAGTAAAGGTATCAGAGGATTACGGAATTTAGATAATTTAAGGCAATTCTTTTTCTTTTCTTTTTTTTTGTTTTTTGGAGACAGAGTCTCGCTGTCACCGGGCTAGAGTGCTATGGCATCAGCCTAGCTCACAGCAACCTCAAACTCCTGGGCTCAAGCAATCCTTCTGCCTCAGCCTCCCAAGTAGCTGGGACTACAGGCATGCGCCACCATGCCTGGCTAATTTTTTTTTTCTACGTATTTTTAGTTGTCCAATTAATTTCTGTCTATTTTTAGTAGAGACGGGGTCTCGCTCTTGCTGAGGCTGGTTTCGAACTCCTGAGCTCAAACAATCCGCCCGCCTCGGCCTCCCAGAGAGCTAAGATTACAGGCCTGAGCCACCGCGCCCGGCCCTCAATTCTCTTATTAAAAAATATTGATATATTAAGTCTTGGTTCTCACTAATTACTTTAAGACATATACTCAATTTAGGGATGGACTATTTACTGCCTTAAACTGTATTTTTTGTTCCTTCCTCTTTCCTTGACTCCTAAATTTATGTATATTAAGCATGTATTTGGATTTTACATTTGCCAGAGCTGCACAGAATTTCCATAGCCACTATTACAGATCTGTCAATACTTTAAAATAGCAGTCCCCAACCTTTTTGGCACTAGGGACTGGTTTCATAGAAGACGATTTTTCCATGGACCAGGCGGTGAGGGTAGGGAGGTGTTTCAGGAGGATTCAGGTGCATTACATTCATTATACAGTCAAGCCTCTCTGCTAATGATAATCTGTATTTGCAGCCACTCGCCAACACTAGCATCGCCGCTTTAGCTTTACCTCAGATCATCAGGCATCAGATTCTCATAAGGAGTGTGCAACCTAGATCCCTCACATGCGGTTTACAGTAGGGTTCCAGCTCCTAAGAGAATCTAATGCCGCTGCTGATCTGACAGGAGGCGGAGCTTATGGGGTGATGCCAGAGATGGGCAGCAGCTGTAAACAGAGATGAAGCTTCGCTCACTTACCCACCGCTCACCTCCTGCTGTTCCACCCAGTCCCCAACAGGTCACAGACCAATACTGGTCCTAGGCCTAGGGATTGGGGACAGCAGCTTTAAAATGTACATAAACTTATTATTCATTCACCTGGCGCTTATAATGTTCTCAATGTACATTTACATCTAGCATCTTTTTCTCCCTTACTACTTCCCTATGAAGCAGATAAGATAGTATTAGTTACATATTCAAATGTAAATTGAGGCCTAGGTAAAATTCAGCAATGGATCTGTCAAAGTCATACAGCAAACTAGATCCAGAACTGAGACTAATTACCTAACTCCATATGCATTTTGTTATTATATCACCCTGCTCAATTTCCCTAAAATTCTATTTGGTATAAAGAAAAAACCACAGTTAGAAAAATAAAAGAGCAGCCCACAAATCCTTATGCAAAAGGTAGCTTTCTGAACATTCAAAATCGTATATATGATACTTACTGATCTGTTCTTCTTGGGTTATTGGCTCCTCATCATCTGGAAGATAGCGCTTATCAATTGCCTCTTTAATCTGGTTATTGGCTCCTTTAGGATCTAAATCCATAGCCCAAGAGAAATTCATCAGGGCGAGGTGCGTTTGACCTAACTTCTTGTAAACCTAAAAATAAACAGAAGCACTACATTTTTCATTAAGTTGTGAGCTTCAACTATAAAATCCTACACATTTATAATTTAAATTAGTCTCCTGATTTATGTGCTCTAAACTCATTCTGATGGGTAGGACATTTTCATCCTACAGATGAACTCATACCAGTTTTTGAGTTCCTTTTAGTATAGTCAGATATTTTCAGAATTCAGGTAGTAGGTTTCTAATATAAATCTCACTCTGACTGCAACAATGACAAAGGGAATAAGTGGACTATAAGCTGCTTGATTAACATTCATTTACAGTGATTTTAAATGGAGCTATTTCAACTCTTAACATCCGCCCATGGTTCCTAGACACTTTAACCAATTGGCATCCGGGGGTCCAGTTTGTAAAGGATTGACTAGTCTGGCCTTGGGACTCCTAGAAGCCATTTCTTCAAATCAAGACAACACAGTGCCATCAATTCTTTTGTTTTGAGGGATTTGTAAGTATTTTATTGAGAATTGGAAGCTAAGGGCTTTTCATGTGGTAGTCTCAGTTATTAACTCATTACTGGCCTCGCGCAGCAAATGCTAATCTACTTCTAATACCAGAGTAGGATTAGGATTATGGGCTGTGTGTTCTTGCTCCTTCATAGGATATCATCTTGTTCAGGGGTCTAGTTGAATTTGCTCAATAGATGTTGCACAATAAGTATTACATTAATATTTATTCTTATAAAATATAAAAGTTAATATTTGCTATGAAAGTCACAGTTTAGGACCATGGCCCCAGTCTTTACCTTTCCTATTAAGAAGTAAACGAGGGATTCTTTGGGAACGATTTGTTTCAATTCTTCAAGTTCTTGTAAAGCCAACTGAAAAAGGTAAAGAAAAACCTTAGAGCAGCAAAGTTTTGACTAAGCAAGTGTTTTTCTTTATTAGATTTCCCAAAATTGAACTAGACCTTAATCAGTATACTTCCTCATCGCATTAGTTCTTGTTGTTGTAAAAACAAAATGCATGAAAAATACGACAATAGGAACTAAGAAATGGTAGGCACTCACCAGCGTACATAGAACGTACACACACACACACACACACACACACACACACACGCTCACTCTCCCACCCATACCCTTATTTCTTTGTGAAATATGCAGGGGGTGATAACCCTTGCTTTTGTCATCATTTTATTTAAAACAATAACTGCATCACATTGTGTGTGGAAGTGTGTGAAAGTGCTTTGAAAACTAAGTTGCAGAACAAAATAAAAGTGTCGTTCTGTCTGACCTTGATGCAAGCACTAATCTCTGAATGTAACCTACCTAATTTTAACTAATGAAATTAAATTTAACCCTCTGAACTGAGTTAAACTGTCTAGCAATCTTTTCCTAAAGGGTTGGGGAAATTGAGAGGAAATACAAGATAAAGAATTAGATTTGTATTTAAAGGAGAAAGATACTCATTAAAAATAAAACTGGCCCCCCAAATGAAATGCTGCTCTATTTTTCACCCAGACAAAAATAATTTGGTTAAGTGAGCATGAGTGAGGGGAAATAGTTATTCTCATCACTAAAGTGGAAGTATAAATTGATGCAAAGTATTTGTAAGGACAATTTAGCGTTATCTATTAAGTTAAAAGCTACATGTAACCACTGATTGCAAAATCCCACCACTAGGAATTTGTCCCAGGGACATACTTAAAAAGGAAAAAGTTCGCTAAGTCATCTTTATAAGAACATTCAACCCAACATATTACTTGTTATTGTAAAACATTAGAAACAATCAAAGTGTCTAATTGCAGCCTGGTTAAATGAATTATGGTCTATCCTCTGTAGGTGCTCAATTGTATATAAAATATAAAAATAAAAAAGGTAAAACCAAGATGCCAAACAGCATGCATGGTATTATTCCTCGTGTCAAAATATATATCCTGCACACGCAAATACACATGACCTGACAAACCACTGTTGGCTTTGAAGATGGAGGAAGGGGTCTACAGGTCAAGGAATTCTGGCAGCCTGTAGACTCTGGGAAAGGCAGGGAAACAGATTCCTTCCTTCTGGAAGGAAGGCAGCCATGCCAGCACCTTGATTTTAGCTCAGCAACACTCATGTTGAATTTCAAGATAATACGTTTACGTTGTTTTAAGACATCAAATTGGTGGTAATTTGTTATGGCAGCAATAGGAAACGAATGCGACTATACCTAATTGTGTAGTATATGTATAAATATTTTATAAATACATTTATGTGAGTATATGCTTTTTTTCTTTTTTTCTGGCATAATTATATCTGTGCCTTCAAACAAGGTAAGAATGGTTTGCCTTTGGGAAGGGGATAATTGATGATGGAATCAGGGGGCTTCTATTCTTCATTTGGTAGCTTTCTCTACTTTTTCAATTTTCTAATATTATGAACATTATACTTTATTTCCCTTTAATGTCCACAGAGGTTATCTACTTTTTGTTTTCTTCTTTATACCTCTTTGTAGTAAAACAAAATCCAATGTAAGTTAGGTTTAAAAAAAAGATAAATACAAAATATATATTAACAGGAGAGTATTAAGTGAAAAAAG